GACCAACGATTCGTGATTGGAATATTGGTAGGAGGATCAAAAGGATGAAACCCATTTCCACATTGCCATCAGTTGTATCGCACAGTCCTTGAAGACTCAAATTATAAGTAGATCATATGATGAAGTTGCAATCTGCTTCTTTAACACTGTAAGATGTTGTTCCAGCATTTTTAAACATTTGGTTTTTCAACTCAATTATTTGATGCTCAACTCTTTGATTCTTACTATGGTTTGACTCCTCTCCTTTCGTGGCTGCAATTGGGTCCTACAGTCCCTTTAGGACAAAAATAGTAAGGTAAGGCTTAGAGTAGAGGGATGAAGTTTTTTGGGCTTTGAGATGTGGATTGAGAGAAAAACATTAAACATAGCTAAGATAGAAATTAAATAAACTGCATCTTCCTTTTGAAACCTTAAGAGTTAGGATAATGGGGGAAACAGTTGTTGCCATGTGAACCATGACTTTAGTTGATATTTAATTGATCAAACAAGCAAAAAACATTGTTGTGCCTGAAGTACCTTGTAGCCATCTGCTAGCAATGTGGTTACAGTAATCAGATGTTCTATCTGTTATAATTTCTGTTCTGGTTGTTGTAATTTGGTTAATGTTAGTTGCAAATATCCCTTAGAGGATCAGTGTATGTTACTTCTTTGTTCATGAACATCTCAATTGGCATGATGAGTATTATTCAGGTTCTAAAATTCAAAAGCTAGCCAGAAGGTGGAACATCTCCTAACTTGATCTAAAATACTCCTTTGCATGCTAAGCTTGTATGCTACATGTTGATATTCGTTTTTATCTTTGCTTTCTGAATGCAGAGGGAAAAGAAGAATTTACAAGATTTAAATGGTTTTTTTTTTTCTTGTATTAGAGCTTGGATTGCATTTCGAAGCTTAAAAGGAAGCGGAATGGGTTGCGCTGCATCGTCGCCAACTAAGGGAGATGGTGAGGTCACTTTATTATCTCTCCTCTCTCTCTTTAGTCTGGAATTTTCTGTTAAATTTGACTTCTGTTTGGTTGCTGAGAAATAGCTGGAAAGTAGAAAAGTTAATGAAATTATGACATTTTCTTTAATTTGGTGGTTTGTTTAGTATCAGCTTAAAATGATAACGATGAAAGAAAAATGAAAGGAGATAAGAAAAAGGAAAGCTCTAATTAAGAAGTCAAATGATAGATTAGCTACAAATTTTCTGTATTTTACAGCAACCAAATGTTGCATTAGAATTGTATCATAGTGTTTATCTGCACTTGCATTTTCTTTTGGGAAAAATAGAGGGCAATCAAAGAAGTTACCAATATGACTAGCATCATCATTGGTTGTTTTTACATCTAAAGGCTGGGCAGGTCCCAAAAAAGTTGTAGAATTTCAGTTCTGTGTCAAGGTTGATTCATGGTAAGGTTGGTGTTAATGGAAAAAAAAATTGATCTTTTTATGGATGTTAGGCTGCAAAATTTATAGCATATGTTAAAGATCTGGTTGTTTGGCATTTTGGCCAAAATCTGAAATCTTGCTTTTGTGTTGATATGGCTGTAGGCATGCTCTTTTTCTACTACTATTGGCTGTAATTAGGTAGAAATTCTGAAATTTTCACCGCCTTTTAAAATATGAACTGATAGCATGAATTGATGCTGTTAAACCATTGATTTAGGGTAAAGCCAACAACTTTAGGGGACTAAGATACTGGCCCTTCTTTGTTTTTGCCTTTGTTGTGTCTGTCATCAAGATTCGGTTGCTTGTAAGAGATAAGCGTTAAGTGATACAGCTTAAATAATTTAAACTTAGTCGTGGATATTCTAAGTGATTTTCTACAGTATTTTGGTGGGTGGTTCTCCCTGTTTGATTGAACCATCAAATCAGGTTTATTATATTTTCCATATCAGAATAAATTTCATACTGCTTTATTACTATCATGTGAAGTCATGCCTTCTACTTGCATTATTTGATGGAAAAATTTACAGTTCCAGACTCATCCCTTAGAATTGTGGACTAGATGAAGCTCCAGAAGCATCCTACTTTACAATTAGTTACTGTTTCAATAATTATTTCTTGCTCACTATTTGCTAAAAGATACACTTTGGGGTATAATTCACTAAATCCAGGAAAACCCAAATGAAAAAGATGATTTTGCCTATGTTGGATGTCTGTATGTATCTGACACCCTTATCCAAGTTGGTGGTAACATGAGCAACATGAGTGATAAGAAACTTTTCTATTATAATTGTGGAATGGAATTGTGTCAAGAAACAACACATATCGTAAATTTAATTTCTAACCTGTGCTCTAAGGGCATAGGTTAATTAAGGACACATTTTTATAATAAATTTGTATAGAAAAATGTAAAAGTAAACATTAATTTTAGAGTCGATGCCACGTGGATAAATTTAATTAGATAGTTGATAAATTAAATGTTATTTTTTATTTTTTCAAGACTCTTTAGGGCACAGGTTAGAAAAATCCAATTTAATATTATCAAACATATGCTAAGATGGATTTATTGACTCTAACAGGTTCTGGGAAAAAGATTCGAAAGCCAAAGAACTGGAAACATCCACAGCCAATAACAAAGTCTCAACTGATGCAAATGTGTGAAGAGTTTTGGGACACTGCTTCTCATTATGGTGGCAGGAAAGGTAGTCTCCACGTTCATAGCAATTATATACTGTTTCTTGAAATTAATTGTTAGGCTAACTGGTGAGATTATAAACCTCAGAAGGGAAATGACAGTTTTTATTATTTCTTTTATTTTTTTATTCTCTTGTTTTGTGTAAATGAAGAGAAACAAAGACTGTGCTAACATGTAGAGGTGAAAGTATCTCATAGAAACAAATAACTTTCAAAACATGGACCTAGTTATATGGTGAACCTTGTTGAGGTGTATCATGTACCCGTTGGTGAAGTATTC